GTTATAAATTGGGGAGGACCCAGCTTTATAATCTCTTCTTCCGTCTATAAAATTCCAGGAGAAAACAAATATATCATGTAAAATTTATCATGTAATATACAATATACAATTAACTAGCAGGAAACTACTTTTGAGAGAGATTTAGAATGTAACACAACTAAATCACACTTTCTTTCTTATGGGCTGATTCACTGATTTTGTTATTTTGCTTTTCTATGAAAGTATTACAATGTTTTAACTACTTCTTATAACTCATTCAGTTTCAAACAGCCCACTTAAGGCACATTCCACTTTCTTTTCATTCTACCTATTCCAGAGACAATATAGAGGCAGTTGAGGCCTCATGGTATTCAGTCTTGGTCAATAGAACAGAGAAATTAATCTCCTGCAACAAGGGTGCATGGAACTTTGGGGAGTCTTCTGAATTTTGTGGACCGCTTTAGCTTTCAGCATCGCAGCTGCCACTTTTTCAGACATCTCGGCAGCTGTGGCTTCCTCCAAGACGTCCTTAAGCAATAACTTCTTTCTGCTTAAGAACTTTTTTTGGAAAGCCCTGTCCCTCATGCCGAATAAAATGCAGTCGCTGATGGCCTTGTCCACATTATCAAACTCGCAGTTGGCAGCGATTTGGCGCAGGGCAGCCACAAAGTGTTTGATTGATTCTCCTTCCCTCTGCTCCCTTTGATGGAAGGTGAATCGGTTGGCGACCGGAGTTCCCGTTGGTGCGTAGTGTTCTTGTAGCACCTCCTGGAGATCAGTCCAAGACATCTCCTCGATCTCCCTTGGTGCCACGAGGTCGATGGCCATCTCCAGCACTTCGGATCCTCAATGCGCCAGGAAGAGGGCTCTTTTTCGGTCATCGTTGAGGTCCTGGTAGTTGTTCCCCCTCAGGAACTGGCGAAACCAGACCATGTAGGACCTCCACTTCTCCTTCCCGGGGTTGAAAGCTGCTAGCGATACGAGTGCGGCTTGCAATGTTGCCATGGCTTCGGTGGCTTTGTCTTCGTGACTTCAGCTCAGTTCAGCTCTTAGTTGGGTAGCGGTGTGCCATGAGATTCTCGCTGCGGTACTTTTGAATCCTTCGTCGCCAGTGTTAGATCAGGCGCAGGAAAAGAAGACACGACCAATGTAGTCCATTCAGCACTTTTATTGAATGAGAATAAGACTGGTGGCTGCGCTGCCGGAGCTGTCCTTTTAAGCGCTCCCGGCAAGTCGCACCGCCCAGAGACAGCATTTTGAATTTCCCGCCAGAGGATTAGCCAATCCCCAGCAGCTGTCTTTATAAGGACATAACAATTTTCTTGCATGAACATAAGCAGCTTTTAACTGCAGAATCCTCATGAGTAAATGAGTATGAAAACTAAGGAATAACCCCTGTACTGTTGAAGGATTGTTCCTTTTCTCTCATATAGAATCTGAGGTTAATGGGGAGAATTTTTATATGGACTAAATTTTGTAGGGATCTAAAATTTCAGGGTATGTTTCAAATGTTTTCCTCCAGGAATTTCGCTTGTGCAATGACCACCTCCTTCCTCTGTATGCACAGTGGAATAGGAAAGCACTTGAAAGCCAACACACAGAGAGACAATTTGAATATCATTGTTGAATGGGAGGTGCTGATCTCATTTTCATCTCTCTTCCTGTGTAACTAACAACAGAAAGGTGGGCAGAATTGAGTTCTCATGCTGACTATGCATGCTCATTGCTTATTCAGTAGTAACTCAACATATATACTTGACACCTTCATTTTTCCAAAAGCTAAATTTCTTTTTCACTTAAGAAGGATTAGGACCATCAGTGATTATGGTGATTTTCATGAAAATTTTGCGAGATCAGAGCCAAATAGGACAATAAAAGGAATTGAAATGAGAATTATACAATGATTTTCACCAAACATATGCCAGACAGATTACTGGAACTGGAAATGATAGAAAGTAAAATGTATTTAAGCTCAAAAACCTCATAGAATAAAAAATGGTTGCTGAAAACAATAAATGTAAATATGAAGAGTAGATAACCATGATATTCTTGCAGAAGTATTTTAGAACAATATTGCAAGTTTGCAGAGATTCATGCCACTCAGAAGTAGTAGACTCTTGTGGCAATTATTTAGAACATTATTGGTGAAAATACATTGATTAATAAACATGAGCTGGAACATGCATAGTAATCTATTTATTATAAGCACTTTCTGGCTCGTTAAAACTCATCTTAGTATACAGATAAATAAACAAGGAAATTCTCTTTTATCTTCTTGAGTACTTTCATTTGAAATAAAAAAATCAGATTATTCTGCTACATTTGTATAACTCCATTGACTCCATTCTATGCAGTAGTTTTATAGATACGCAAAGCAAGTTCCACCCCATAGCATAATATAAGGCAAAAGTAGTTTAAATATCCATTGACTATAACTACTTGGACAGCATAAACAAAAAAAGAATATTTTGGTTTTCGTGGAAGAATCAATGCAGGAACTGTCATAAAGTTATTTTTTTTAAAATCTCTATGACACTGTCATCATAACAATGACTTTAATATAACAAAATTAAACATACAGTCAGGTCCATAAATATTGGGACATCGACACAATTCTAACATCTTTGGCTCTATACATCACCACAATGGAGTTGGAATGAAACAAACACAATGTGCAGTAACTGCAGACTGTCAGCTTTAATTTGAGGGTATGTACATCCAACTCAGGTGAACGGTGTAGGACTTACAGCAGTTTGTATATGTGCCTCCCACTTGTTAAGGGACCAAAAGTAATGGGACAATTGGCTTCTCAGCTGTTCTATGGCCAGGTGTGTGATATTCCCTCATTACCCCAATTACAATGTGCGGATAAAAGGCCCAGAGTTCATTTCAAGTGTGCTATTTGCATTTGGAATCTGTTGCTGTCAACTCTCAAGATGAGATCCAAAGAGCTGCCACTATCAGTGAAGCAAGCCATCGTTAGGCTGAAGAAACAAAACAAACCCATCAGAGAGATAGCAAGAACATTAGGCATGGCCAAAACAACTGTTTGGAATATTCTCAAAAAGAAGGAATGCACCGGTGAGCTCAGCAACACCAAAAGACCCGGGAGACCATGGAAAACAAGTGTGGTGGATGACCGAAGAATTCTTTCCCTGGTGAAGAAAACACCCTTCACAACAGTTGGCCAGATCAAGAACACTTTCCAGGGGGTAGGTGTATGTGTGTCAAAGTCAACAATCAAGAGAAGACTTCACAAGAGTGAATACAGAGGGTTCACCACAAGATGTAAACCATTGGTGAGCCTCAAAAACAGGAAGGCCAGATTAGAGTTTGCCAAACAACATCTAACAAAGCCTTCACAGTTCTGGAACAAGATCCTATGGACAGATGAGACCAAGATCAACTTGTACCAGAGTGATGGGAAGAGAAGAGTATGGAGAAGGAAAGGAACTGCTCATGATCCTAAGCATACCACCTCATCAGTGAAGCATGGTGGTGGTAGTGTCATGGCGTGAGCATGTATAGCTGCCAGTGGAACTGGTTCTCTTGTATTTATTGATGATGTGACTGCTGACAAAAGCAGCAGGATGAATTCTGAAGTGTTTCGGGCAATATTATCTGCTCACATTCAGCCAAATGCTGCAGAACTCATTGGACAGTGCTTCACAGTGCAGATGGACAATGACCCAAAGCATACTGCAAAAGCAACCAAAGAGTTTTTGAATGGACAGAAGTGGAATGTTATGCAATGGCCAAGTCAATCACCTGACCTGAATCCCATTGAGCATGCATTTCACTTGCTGAAGACAAAACTGAAGGGAAAATGCCCCAAGAACAAGCAGGAACTGAAGACAGTTGCAGTAGAGGCCTGGCAGAGCATCACCAGGATGAAACCCAGCGTCTGGTGATGTCTATGTGTTCCAGACTTCAGGCTGTGATTGACTGCAAAGGATTTGCAACCAAGTATTAAGAAGGGAAAGTTTGATTTATGATTATTATTCTGTCCCATTACTTTTGGTCCCTTAACAAGTGGGAGGCACATATGCAAACTGCTGTAAGTCCTACACCGTTCACCAGAGTTGGATGTACATACCCTCAAATTAAAGCTGACAGTCTGCAGTTACTGCACATTGTGTTTGTTTCATTCCAACTCCATTGTGGTGGTGTATAGAGCCAAAGATGTTAGAATTGTGTCGATGTCCCAATATTTCTGGACCTGACTGTAGTTCTTGTTGCTGTCTCCCTGTTGCTAGTTGGAGGTATCAGGAAAAATTTTAAGCTGTGTCATTATTTGAGCTGTATGTATAAAGAAAGCCATGATGTACAATTAAAATATAATTTTAAATTTCCCACAGCTAGTACTTTAAATTATTGGTATTGCAATTTGTCTTGCCTAACATAGAGCTAAATTCTTCAGAGAAACTGCCTTTGATTTTAAAATTGAATATTTGGTTGCTGTATACTGTATGTAGAATGATCCATAAACAAGGTTAGTTGGACTTATTCTTAACAAGAATAAGTTAAATAGTTACATAGAAGGCCAAAATATTTATGTGGTAGTGTTTAAAAAGAATTGGTGGATCTATCTAGATTTGAAATTTAATTTAATTTAATCTTATCTTATATTTATCTTATATTAAATTTCTAGTATTCTTACTTTATCTTGCTTGGATGTTCATTTTTTCTGAGTTTGTGCAAAAATTTACATGAATTTTCTTGTATACGTAAACACTTATATGTTTTCTACTTAATTTCTGTTACAGTAAAAATTTTACTGTAAACATTTTTCCAAAATTGCTTTTTAACGGTTTATATTCTATCACATTATTCATGTAAAAAAATTAATCTGAGAATTGTAATTAAGTGTTTAGAGAAACAGAAACTATATATGTTCCTATCCAAAGAACAGACTGGAAAATTTAAATTAAGTAATTTCATACTAATACAAGGGTCCAAGCAAAGTCATTTCATATCTTCAAACTCTCACATTAAAATGTTCGCCTTCCTTTTCTTTTCAGATCCCGTGCATGGTCCAAGAAAGCTTGAAGTTGTAGAGATCAAATCCTGGCAAATTACCATTACCTGGGAGCCATTTGGCTACAATGTGACGCGTTGCCATAAATATAACCTTACAGTCCATTACCGTTATCAAACTGGTGGACAGGAGCAAGTTAGAGAAGAAGTGAGCTGGGATACTGACAATTCACACCCTCAGCACACCATTACTAATTTGTCCCCCTACACTAATGTCAGTGTCAAACTTATTCTTATGAATCCTGAAGGAAGAAAAGAAAGTCAAGAAATTGTGGTACAAACTGATGAAGATGGTAAGTTTTAAAATGTAATGTTTCTAGCATTTAATATGAACTAGACAACCCATGACTGATGTGTCAATATTTCAGAGAGATTTCTTTTACCTAAATAGAGAAACAGAATGACCATGTGGACATGGGAGCGACTTCTGACATCCTGTGGGCTTTCTCACTGAATTTCTTTGTGGGAAGCTGGCAGTGGAAAATCTCCCTTCCCTTCTGTTTCCTCTTTGCCTCCACTCCACTCCCTAGCATATAAATTACACACATACACATGGTGGTTATATCAATAGAAGAGTTACTGTATATATATCTCAACTACATGATTTTAACTGTTTGATTAAAACTGTTTAATGGACAGAACTCTTCAGAAGTTATTTTGCCACTGAAAACCATTGTTACTTTAGAACTATTTGAATATATCTTATTAGTACTCTGCCAAACGATTTCTGTAATCTTAAAATGAAACTTCAGTGTTCCTAAATTACAGTGTACTTTGCTAAACATCTTATTCTTTTATTTTATTCATTAGTTCCAAGTGCTGTTCCACTTGAATCTATCCAGGGAAATACTTTTGAGGAGAAGATTTTTCTTCAGTGGAAGGAGCCAGTACAAACATATGGAGTGATCACTTTATATGAAGTACGTTATATATTTAACTATAGGCTTGATTTCAATCAATATCATAAAGTACTTTTCTTATATATCTGATGATTTTTCCTATTGATTCACAATTCAGGTTTTAATTACACTCATTCTACTTTAGCATTTTAATTAGACATTAGAAAATTACAGAGGAAAAATATAATATGGCACATATTAATCTCTACATTAGATGTTGATTTTTGTTGATTAATCACAACATTAAGGTGTTGATTTTTGGTACTTAGGATACCAGTGCTGCTTATACTTCTATAATATTTTTTCTGATAACTGCAGTGGGTGCCTCAACTCTACTTTCTAGGCAAATCTGTTTATCATTACACCCCTTTGTTACTTCGATACATACACAGATTTTCTCCATCTCATCTCATTCTGTTCCCAAATTAATTTATGCCCACTATTGCATTTTTACAGTTTTATGAAGAAAAAAATAAGAAGAACCTCTCGTTTATTAAAATGCAAATTCAACAAAATCATGTTATTTGTTAATCTAACAAAAGAACTATAGGACACCTCTGCCCTAAGATATCTTGCGTAAATATACCGACAAAGCATTGTACATATTTTGTTGTCAACCTATAATCACTGTCAAATCTCTTACTTGACTGAATTAGTTTGACATTTATGTTTTTTCTTCATTTTCAGAAAGAGATGTTAATAAAACACTGTTTTATTATAAAGGAAGATAATAATTTACTGTGGAAAAATATATTTCTAAAATTGAGTAGATTAGAAAAATAAAATTGTGTGGGTAATGAAAAAGTTATTCTTCCTGTGATTTATTTTATTTCTAGACCAGCTTTTCTTACCTGGGTTCTGTGAAAGGTTTCTCTATAGCTTCCACTTGTAGTGGTGAGAATTTTTACATGCCCAGACTCAGCTGCTTCCCATTATAAATGTTGTAAATGTGGATTGAGAAGGTTAGAAATGAATTGTATTGTGATTTTTTTGTGTTTTTTGAAATATTTATTCAGGGGTAACCTGAGACATGAACATTACTTCAAGGGTGGGATCACTTCAACGAAGTGATCTAGATTATCTAAGTTCATAAACTTTCAAAACAGAATGAGAAACAGCATATGAAATATAATGGGGAAAATATTATGCAAGAATTGCCTCCAAAGAAACAGTTTGTAGCTGAAACAAAATGTTGTGAGCTGTCAGAACTCAGTACTGTACTATCAGTCAATCTTTATAATCTTGAAAAAAATGTTTGTTCTGAGTGTTTTTGTTTTGAGCGTTGAACAAAGCATACATTTTGTTACAACTTTCAAACAAAACATGGCTATTTTAAGAATAGTATTTGCAAGTATTATGTCTGTTCTACAAGCCATGGTTGGAATGTTATCTTGCCACTTGCCATTAGTTTGTTGTTCCTGGGGGTTTTTGCTTGTTTGTTTAACCTACATATATAGCATCAGAACTTTCTGGTAATTCCTTAACAATAGTATTGGCTTAGACTGGATGGCATGATTAGGAATGCAGGAAAAATCAGAAAGCACAGTAGTGGCATTTTACTGTACCAGAAGTGAATCTACCTATCCAATTCAGATATTTACAGATCTTTTGAGAGTTCCTCTCTCAATGAGATACTTGGATATTGACTAGAACTTAGGTGATAGAATTTTGGTAGTACGCGGGTCTCCCTTTTCTGTCCCGGTCTTCTTGAATTATTCAAGCAGATTAAATTTTTGCCTTTAGTTGATTGTTGAGTGGCCAGCATAGTATCAATTAAGAAAAGTGCTGAGTGCAGTTGTCATCAAACTATTTCACAGCATCATCATCATTCTCACACATATTTTTGGTCAGTTTGCATTTTTGTGTATACCTAACAAACAGATATTCATTTGTGGGGTCCTAGGTGATCTCTGAATGTGGTTATTCTTGCAGATGTGCATTGATGATGTTGCCTAGTTTGGTAATAAAATTCTGGAAGAAAACAGCAGAACTCAAAGAGCACTAAGGATCCCACCATTCAATCCTTCTATCAGTTACTAATTTTCTTCCAAACCAAAAGAAAATTAAAAGGGGAGGGGGGAGCAGACAAGTTAAAAGTATTAGCTTCAATCTGAATTATAGCCTTTAAAATTATAAACTTGATATCTCTAAGCCCTGAGGCTACAAAAAACAAACAAACAAACAAACAAACAAACCCTCACAATACTTTGGCTAAATCTGTGTTCTATCATTGTATTTCAGACATGAAGTTCTTAAGAGTAAAATAACTTATCAGAAGGTGTCTGACATTGCAGTCATCTAAAGGATATATTGAATATTATGCAATCCTTTTCCAACTTCTGATGATATTGGTATTCTTTTGTAGATCACATACAAGGCTGTCAGCTCCTTTGACCCAGAAATAGATTTATCAAACCAAAGTGGACGGGTTCTAAAGCACGGGAATGAAACACATTATTTGTTTTTTGGACTGCATCCTGGAACTACTTATTCTTTCACTATCCGGGCTAGTACAGCCAAAGGCTTTGGACCACCTGTAACAAGTCAATTTACCACAAAGATATCAGGTATATTTAAAATCAGCAACCTTGCCATTATGATAAATGTTATTTTCATTTTTTTTAATTTCTTTTTATTTGATTTATATGCTGCCCTTCTCCGGAGACTCAGGGCTGCTTACAATGCGTTAAGCAATAGCCTTCATACTTTTGTATATTTATACAAAGTCAGCTTATTGCCCCCACAAACTGGGTCCTCAATTTACCTACCTTAGAAAGGATGGAAGGCTGAGTCAACCTTGAGCCTGGTGAGATTCGAACTTACAGCAATTGCAGACTGCTGGTGTTAATCACAATGCTATCAGTCTGCTGAGCCACCAGGCCCTTTTTTTTTAATTGTTTAACTTAAATTTTACAATTTTATTATGGATGTCAGGAGCATATTTAAATTAAAGCAGTTAAAACATATTTCATTTCTAAACAATGTTATCTAAACATTACTGCACACATCCTTTTGCTTACAAAATAGTATTGGTATAAGTATATTATATTAAAACTCATTTTTAAAATGTTGAGACAAACTAAGCTGATCAGACATAAAAACTTTCATCTCATACTAGGTTATTAAAATGGCCTTTTGGTAAATGTTCACATTTCTAATAATTTTTAGATTATTTATATATAACAGCCATTTTCTATTTAGCATGTGTTTTAACCAGTATATTGTCCAGAGAAATATGCAGCTGAGATAGGTGGCCATATACATTTAATAAGCCACAACAATAACAATTTAAACAATATCTGACTATCCCAGGTCCTTAAGAAGGATTCAGGTTTTGGATAAAAGAACCAAATTCAGTCTAAACATCTGTCCTGGTGGGCAACCAGCCATAATAATAATAACCATAATAATTAACCATTATAATTGCCTTCAGTGAGGTGCCTTTGATGTGGTCATGGGGTACTCTGAGGAGAGCTATGTCAGAGGTTCAGTCATATTAGACAGGTATCAACAAAGAAGCCAGACAAAGAGCATATCTTCCATAAACAATATTATGAGATGTAGAAACCCATACCAGTTCAGTCGTCAACAAGGTCTGTGCAACGTGTTGGAGTTCTTGGAAATCTGATGACAAATGGATTATACGACTCAGGATTATTGGCTGAGCAACAAGGACCAGAAACTGCAGGACTACTGGAAGGAAAACAAATAAATAGAGATTGAAAACAAGAAATAATAATAATAATAATAATAACAACAACAACAACAACAACAATAGTTACGCATTTTTGAATGTTCAGTTGACTGATTTTCATGTTTAATGAATAAAGTAAATAATAATATAACAACAACAATAACAACAACAACAACCAGGAGATACCAGAGTTGAAGAAAAAGAACTAGAAAAAAATAACGAAATATCATGACCTGACCATCGAAACTATGCAATTATGGATGAAACATGTGATAGTGATACCCACTGTCATCAGGGCACTTGGCACCATGTCCAAGAATTTTACAAAATACATAAAGAAATTACGGCTTCCTGCAATAACACCAGCAGAAATGCAAAAAACTGCACTACTTGGAACATCATACATTTTAAAAAGATACTTGGTCGATACCTAGGATGCTGGCAGCAACCATTAGCACCAATCAATCATATTTGTGACACATTTTTAAAGGTTCAGTTGACTGAGTTTCAGGTTTAATGAATAAAAGAGATAGTAATAATAATACAAGAAAATAAAACAAAAAATAATAATCTGTTATTAAAGATAAAGTCCAGTGAAAAGAGGATATATGAAAATAATGCATCCAAAATCAGAAATAACAGAACAGAGGTTAGCAGTTCAACATTGCTTTATAAAATGAAATAAAGCATTCACAGAAGTAGAATTGAAAAAAAGCCTACAAAGATCTACCCAGGTCAAAGAAATCAAAATCTTGCCAGAAGTAGCTCAGACTGAAGAGGCAAACCAGGGGGATTGGAAACCAACATAGCTATTGAATTGTTTTATTCCCAAACCAGGCACCCTGTCCTTTGCCTTATCCTGAGAAACATCAAAGCAAATAAAAACAAGAGAAATTGGAAAGAATAGCTGAGTATCCAGAGCAGCACAAAAACAATAGAATAAAGTTGCCTGCATTGAAGCTGGTTCTAAAGAAACAGCTAGCACAAGTATTAAAAGATGCCAATTTTATACAGGTAGATCTCGACTTACGATCACAACTGAGCCTGGAATTATGGTCATAAGTTGCTGCAGTCATAAGTCAAATCTCCATGTGACTTAACTTTATGACTGCATCTTGGCTTTCCTAGGTTAAGGAAAGACTTATTTTTAGGAGGAAAAATATTCATCCTTGGTATCTGCTCTGTGAAATTGAGGATATCAACGAGGTACCCAACAGTTTGATTCTGTTTTATGGCTGCACATATTATCATTCAATTCAGAAGGAATATGTGAAAAATCTGGATACAAATTAGGACATAGAAAAGATGAAAACCTAAAGCACCATGCCATGACAGAAGTGGAATATGGAGATCATTTTAGGGAATATAAATTAAAATTTTTATTTAGTTCACTCCTGACTACAACAAGTTATTTTGATGTCCAAAAAACAGAATAATTCCTAAATTATTTATTTTATTTTTTTAATTTTTATTTTGATTTATATGCCGCCTTCTCCGGAGACTCGGGGCGGCTTACAAGGCATTAACTTGTTAAATTAACAGATTAAAGATCAATGTAAATTGATAAACGCTGCAGTGCAAGCTTGTATAAACTCAGGATCGTTCAGGATCTCATTACTGAATATTCTGACATAGAAGGATATCCTGTCACAGAAGCTGTATGGTTGTCAGTAGGCTGACAAGTTCATCAAAGAGAAGGAAATTTAGAATGCTCTGGGTATGTGGCTCTGCTGCAGGGGTGGGTTCTACTTACCTTTACTACCAGTTCGCAATAGGATTGCATGCGCAGATCGCCCATGATGACATCCGGGGTGGTGGGCGGAGCCTCCTGCCGGTTTTACTACTGGTTCTTGCGAACTGGTCCAAACTGGGGGGAACCCACCACTGCTCTGCTGTAAGCACTATTTTTAGGAAGACTGTTTTAAGATCCAAATGATATGAAAGGGACAAATTAAATGAGTCTGCTTCATGTGTTCTTGTTTGTCTAGCACCTTCTATGCCACCCTATGAGTTGGAAACACCTTCAAATCAAACGGACAGTACCGTGACCGTTCTGTTGAAGCCTGCACAAAGCAGAGGTGCACCAGTCAGGTATTGTGTTGTTGGGAAAGATGTACAAGATTAAAACAGAATTGATTAATTCCTTGACAGTGTTTTCTGGGGATCTTTCCTAATTCAGCACAGTTTAAATCCATGTTTGCATTATCTCTAATTAAACTAAATGGCAGACGAATACGAAAACCCTTTGATGTAGAGCACTCAGGTATTATGTGCAGGATTTCAGAACTTAGTCTTTGAAAATAAAGAACAAAGCTATAGTTCTCTTATGTGGGTGGTTTCTTTACTTCTACAAGGTAATTGCTTATTGCAGTGGTATGAGTTCAAGGGTGCTTCATTACTTTATCCTTTGCAACTGTGTTTTCTATAACTAATCTCTCTTGCAACTAAGGATTTAATCACCATTATTTCAGGTAATCAGATGAGATGCTAGGAAATTTAAAAATTAAATTAGATTATAATCAAGTTAGGAAAGAAGAAGGAATGTTCACTAAATAGTGTTTGGCCAAGTAGCCTTTCAGCCTCAATCTTCAATATGATAAGATTAATAATATACTGCAGAATTGCAGTAAGAGATACAGCAAAATGATCTAAGTTAAATATTTTGCAAATCCTCAAATGCTACACAGATGCTTTTCCTCCAGTGATACAAATTTTTATGCAGGATCTAATCTGAGTCGATCACCAGCACCAAAGGTTTATTCTTCCAAACTTGTTCATGCTAGAGCCCATCAAGGAACTTCTCTTCCTCTAGAATATGTGCACTGGGCTATTCTACATGTTATATGTATATGGTGCCTGGTTGTATGTAGTTTTTAGTTGTTAATTAGGGTATTGATTTTGGTCCCGGTGACCAACTCACACTGGATCCTGCAACATTATCCTGGGACACATATATTTACCTTCATTGGCAAGGATTTTTGTCTTATTTTTCATTATTTAAGGAAGTTCAACTATTTCTAGCTGGTGTTTTACTTTCTCTGTGGTTTATATATTTTAATTTTTTTTAGTCTTTCATTTTAATTTTTTTATATTTTTACAATGATTAATTTTAATTGTTGTTTTGTTATATAGTTGTACACCACTCAGAGTTGTTTGTGAGACTCTTGGCCATATAAATACCATTAATTAATTAATTAATCTTGTGCTTGAACTCTTTTGGCTAAAATAATTATTATGGGGAAAATAATATACAGGGTCAGTTGGCAGTTAAAAGAAAATAAAAACCTATATTCCCTGCTTCAGATTATTTTTATCCCAAATCCTGCCCATAGGATTTACTGTGCTTTCAGTGGGTAGTTGAAAAAAAATAGCCTCCAGTCCGCCATACCAATTGCTAATTAGCAAAGAAGGAATTCCATAGTGACAAATAGGTGGGCTATTTAGATTTATTTTATGATAATGCTTAATTACATGGAATCTCCCCTGTACATTGTATTTCTATTACCAGAAGTAAAAATTAAAAATTGTGAAGGACTGCATAAGATGAGATAAGGCAACTTTTTTATAGTGATTTTTTAAAAGTGCATTTTCCACTATCTTTTTTCTTAAAATAGAAATAATCTGTAATATTGCCTTTTAAGTGTACGTAATGCCTTATCCTTTCATTGCTAATGATATAGATTGTAAAGTCATTTAACAATAAAATATAAGAACACTTCTTTCGTTATAGTTAAGGTGGGGTATCGTTGAACTTTAGTTAAGTAAATCAGTTTCCAGAAGTCTCATTTTTAAATGGTGGAGACAAGATTGTCACATCTACAATCATTCCAAGGGACTCTGAAGAAATAGACTTTCCCAGCTGATTGTTTCTTTAATCTGTATTCATTCTGAGTAAGAAAAATGGAGCTGTACTTTATGCTCTTCACTAAGTGCAATGTCTGTCTATTGATTCTGCGGTAACTATCTGGCATGGTTAATGCAGTTTCTTGGAACTCTTCTAAACTTTTCAGTGTAAATGATTGTTGCTGGGTTATTGATCAATACATCAGTTCTGTCACATAAAAATCTTTATTTCCTCTGATAGATAGAGGGAGAAGGCAGAAAGAAAGTAAGCACAAATTTTAGTACATTATTGCCTAGGACTGCTTGTTTACAATTTATACCTCCATTTATCATTTCATCTAGAAGAAATATAAAATTAGAATGTTGCTTTCTGTTTTAACTTTATTTGGATTCAATCCACTTCAATTACAGTTCTGGCAGCTTCAGAAAATAAATACATGGCATCATGAATTTAAGAAGCGTTCTTAAAAAAACAATTATGTACAATTTTCTGGAACAAGCTACTAATGTTTAATGTGATCCTCAAAAGCAAATTGTTAGCTTTTGGAAACTTAATTTCATTTACTATTGCAATCTTTATTAATTATATAAAATATGGACAGTTCATTCTATGATCTTGCTTAAAGAATTTTGGAACATCAATTTGGAATTGTGTTTTAGCTTGTATTTCAGTCCCACCCCCCATTTAATTAAATCTTATCTCCATACATTTTCAGAATATAAAAAGAATATATTTTATACTAATATTGGCTGATACATTCAATCTATGTGAGTTTCTATCATTCTCATATATGTAAATATTCTGAGTATATAAAAATTAAATGACTAACTATTGTCTTCTTTCAATTTAAAATTCAGGCATTGAAAAGAGGTTTAGCCTCCATTTCAGTTATGTAGTGAATTCCTTTTTTCTGTGCATTCAGTCCAACAAAGAAGAATATGAAACAAACAGTTAATTATGAGGGAATTTGGAGGTTTTTTGGTCTGAAATCTAGTAAGCATGCTTTTATGGAATGTTATGAGAACTTAAACTTTTAATAAGTTTCTAGTACAGTTTTAATATTTTAGTCACTTTAAATCAAATCCACATATTTTTCTTCCATGGGCATTCTTTCTTTTTTTTTTTTTTAATTTGATTTATATGCCGCCCTCCTCCGGAGACTCAGGGCGGCTTACAATGCGTTAAGCAATAGCCTTCATACTTTTGTATATTTATACAAAGTCAGCTTATTGCCCCCACAAACTGGGTCCTCAATTTACCTACCTTAGAAAGGATGGAAAGCTGAGTTGACCTTGAGCCTGGGGAGATTCGAACTAGCAGTAATTGCAGACAGCTGAATGATAATAACAGGCTATTAGTCTGCTGCGCCACCAGGCTCTTATTAATGCTGTAAGCCTCATAAATTTTAAATTTCACACTGCTAGTCCAACAGGTTATCTTCAAAATATCAGATATAACATATAATAAATCTATAAAAATTGAGGAAGAATTGTATTGCATCTTTTCCTTTGAGTTAGGATTATTGCATTGTGCTGTTAATTGAACAGTATTAAAACTTCAAAATAAAGCAATGTCAATTTTAAAGATGATATTTTGATGTGCCACCTTTCCAAGCATTAATTATTATTTTTATTTTATTCCTTCCATAGTTCAAAAATTATTTGAAAGAGGTGCTTCAGAATGCACAGTAGCATAAGTATGGAAGCTTACATTATCTGTACTTAATTATAAGATCTGCACCCAGACACTGCTTTTCATCAGCTGCATCCTAATATTAATATGACTCTTTCAATTTGCATTTTACAACTTTTTATCCATTTGTACTCCTGAGATAGATGTCATTATTCTGTGATGATATGTCAGTACCATATTTGAGGAGCAAAAAAGTATCTTTTACTTTTCTTGTTTCTTTTTCAATCCATAGCTGCAATTTTGGACAATATCAGCATAGCTGTCAACCTAGAGCTGTTGTTCAATAATGAGTAATTGACAATTTGTGCAGAAGAGACTTGACTGAGAAATAACTGTCAGACACAGATATAAATAATAGCTGTGCAATAGATTATATCAGTCATTAGGTAGTAGAGATGGTACTTGAGAGATGGGTCTTTATCATTAAGATTTACTCTTTTATCCTGATTGTCCATTTTACAGAGTGGGAATTCCAGTCATATTGTTTCTGTTAATAGATGGAGGCAGTGTTTATCATTTCCTGTCTTCTCTTCAATTCCCAGCATTAGTACCATCACTGTAGCTGCAGCACCACTACTGTAGTGGAAGGTCCCAGCCTTTTAAAACAGATGCCAGGAAACACAAAGAACTGCACTAAAATAAAATCCGCCAAACCCCACCCACTGTCAAAGATTTTGACAGATTCCCTTATAAATGGTTTAAATACTCAAGCATGAAACTAGTCAAGGATTCTATTGATTTAGGCTAAAGAAGACAAACAATTGAATGGCTTACCTCCCCCACCTTCTCGTTCTTATCCTTAGATTTAGCAACTTTAATATGCAATCTTGGAAAAGGCTTGAAAGCTTCTTCATTTTTCAAGTCTTTTTCCCCCGTATATTTTAATGGAAAGCATTTAGACCTTTCATTTCCATTACCAACATTGTGAAGGAGTACAATCCAGGAGGTTTAGATGATACCATTAGGTTGTTTTATAGACTGAATTTATAGACATCATGAGTATGCCCTAAAGCAGGAATCAGGAACTTGTGGCTAGCCAGATGATACTGAACTATAATTCCTAGCATCCCATGGAGCATAACCAATTATTAAGGATGACAAAGAGTTGTGGCATAACAATACCTGGAAACCAGAGTTAAGGAATGTTCTAAAACTTAAATATTACTTTGTCATATTTTCTCAGTATTCACACTGCCATCATAAATGTCATACCATTATAGATATTGTTAATATCTAATCGGGACAGAGGTTGCTCCTCTGTTCTGGCCCTGTTAGACCTCTCAGCGGCTTTTGATACCATCGACCATGGTATCATACTGCACCGGTTGGAAGAGTTGGGAATGGGGGGCACTGTGTTACGGTGGTTCTCCTCCTTTCTCTCAGATCAGTCGCAGTTCGTGTTGGCAGGGGGGCAGAGGTCGACCTCGAGGCCTCTTATGTGTGGAGTGCCTCAGGGGTCGGTCCTCTCGCCCCTTCTGTTCAACATTTATGTGAAGCTGCTGGGCAAGATCATCCGTGGCTTTGGGGTGAAGTACCATCAGTACGCTGATGACAC